GCACGTGGTGCGACTCGAAGCGGCGCGGCTTAACGCACGCGTGGAAACGCGCAAGTCGCGCGCGTGGACGATGCAGACAGCGCATGGGAAGTGCGTGATAGCGCATGATAGCGCGTGCCTGCCACTAACGGCATCATCTGGCGCGTGCTGCTTACACACCGCCTTTCGGGGTGTTTTCTGGTCTAATTTTGGTACTTCCGGACTCCATTTTCCAAATAAAGACATTTGTGGTCGCTTAAAAGACATTTAATGAACATAAAAGATGAGATGTATCACACTCTCTCTCTAATGAGAGTGGAAGTGCAGAAACTTGCACTTCTTCTTCCTCCTTAAGCCCTCAAGAAGTTAAAAACGAACCCAAATTAGGGTTTAATGTATCTCATCAAACGTAAATCCAAATCTAACAAATAAGATATGGTTTCGAAGGTTTCGAAATAAGGATTATAAATATGTAAGATTTGCAGACTGAAATTAAAGCATGCAAAACCATCATGCATTTAAAGTTTTGAAAAAACATTAATTTCCATGCATATAACGTGTATATATTTATATAAAATTATACACATATTTTAATGCATAAAATAAGCACGAAAATATCCATTAATGCTCTGATACCAATGTAAATTAAAGTATAACGCAGCGGGTAAAACATTCAGATCATACCTTAGGTGATAGAATCAGAAGTGAAGAATCTCGTGGGTAAATCACGTGCTTCAAGAATGCGAATAACGAACCCAGCAGTGGAGTGATACCACAATATGAGTATAATCCCCACAAGTCACAGTGCAAAGGCTGGATCGTTCTCATAATGGGAGAGAGTTAGAGAGAGAGTCTATAAAAATGCTATGGGTAAAAACCACATAACGTATCTGATATCAATATATTATATAAATATAAAATCATATATATAACCATATATATCAATTTATCCATATCAGTTGATACGATAGATATAGATATCAAGAGTGGGTTATCCAAATAGGTTTTAAATTCAAATTCAAACTTACATGGATAAGGTTCAAAAGGTTTAAAGGGTCATGCCACATGGGCGCCCAATTTCTAACAAGAGAATACGATGCAGACAAAGATGGCCGAATAAGCAAAAATGAACTCTGAGAAGCGGTCCGTGCCACCGGAGGTTGGTTTTCGACATGGAATAGTAGCCATGGAATAAAATCTGCTGACAAGAATGGCAACAGTTTCGTCGATGAGAACGAGATCAACAACCTTGCTGATTTTGTACAAAAAAAAGTTGAATGTGCGAATTGTTCCATGCTAAAAAAAGTCATGTTTGCTTCTTCTTTTTTCCAGCGTATATGTCTGTGTGTCTACGTTATCTGTCGTTTCCATGCATGGCCATGCAGGAATTTTTTTTTTTTTTTTTTTTTTTTTTTTTTTTTTTTTCAATTGGTAGAAAGGGATCAATGGTTGGGAAAGTTGTATAATATAGCGAAGAAGACACGAATTCAAACATTATGTCTGATAAAGGAGTGTACCTCAACCATTAGATTAACTCTTGATCTATGTAATTGTTTGTTAAGGAAGCCTAGTTATGCACTTGGTTTTTAATATGCAAAGTATGATGTGCACTTTCTCTAGGGACTTTTTTTTATTATTTATTACTATTAGTTTTTTATCGGTTTCTTCATATATTCTAAAGAGAGAATAAATTATTCACGGACGTTTTGGAAATGTGGATTTTTACCAGCATCCACTTATATGGTGCCATATAAGCAAAAATATGGTCCACCACATATTTATGCTTAGAATCTCTTTTGATTGAACCCATCATTACCATCACATATACAAATAGAAAGAGAGAATAAAGACAATGGATTTTCTACATAAGATTGGGGTTGTTGATCCAAGAGTGGGATTTTTATGTGCTATGTGTGGAACAGGGGAGGAGTCATTAAATCATATAATGTTGCACTGTGATTTTGTAAGGAATATATGGTCTAGCGTAATAAAATGGCGAGGTATGCAATGGGTAATGCCTAGTACAATGGAAGGGCTGCTTCAGGGGTGGAGTGACAGGAAGTTTAAAAAAGTGGAATTACAGATATGGAAAACAATTCCTGTAACAATTTTTTGGTCTTTTTGGAAGCACAAAAATGATGTCATCTTCAATGAGGTTCAGCCCAATAGTGAAGATCTGTGTGAGATTATCAAGGTTAGGGTGGCCATGTGGTTGAAGTCAAATATGGTAGGAAGATATTATTCAATTAATCAGTTTGTTTCAAAATTACAACAAATCAGGCAATGTATGAAGTGATTGGTACTAGTGCATAAAGTAGAAAAATTGTGATGCTGCTAAGTGATCTTCTGGGGTGAAGTAGTACATGTGTTAAGCTAAGGATGGTTATTGCACAGACACAGATTCAGGTGAATGGTGAATTCTAGTTTTTTTTTTTTCCTGGTTTTTATGCTCTTCCGCTAGTATTTCTACTATGTATTCCTACTCTGCTGCTAGTGTATCATTGGATGCTGGAAGTTTTGGATCAGGAGATGCATCAAGTGAGGTGTATTAGGGCTATTGATGGATTGGAGTGAACCTAATTGTTGTGCTACTAATAGTTGTTGCTACTCTTGAATCTGTTGGGCTGCTGAATGCTACTGCTGTATGTTGCTGCTCTGTGGTTGCTGTATGTTGCTATATGAAGCAGTTTTGGTCTGTGCTACTGAATACATAAGGGAGTTGAAGAATGAGTTTGCACTTCTTTTGCTATTGTTGTATGCTGGAGTCTCAGGAAGGTGGCTACTATTTGTGGTTGGCTTCTGTTGTTTGTGGTCTGCTCTGCTATGATTGTGATGTGATTGTTGCTTTTGTATTGCAGCAAGAGTGGTGGCTGAATGGTGGCTTCTGCAATAGATGCTCTATTTAGTTGTTTTGTTTTTTGGCACCACCAGTTGGTTCTTAGTTCAAATGTTTGGTTGCTTTGCTGTTTGGAAGTGTTTGTTGGGTGGTGTTCTTGTCAACAGGGTCAAAGGCCACTGGTTTTTTGAGTGTGCTAATGCAGGGCTGGTTGTCTTATGCTTGGGTGCTCGAAGGTTGTCCTCTGGAAGATGCTGTTGGAGTGTTATCTGTCTGTGTTTTTGTGATCATCTGCTGTGTATATTGTCATCAGTGTATGCTGCTGTTGTATGTTGCTGTTGTATAATGCTGTCGTTGGACTTTCAATGACTTGGAGTCGAAGATGTGTTCTGTTTTTGTTGTGATATGTTTTTGCTCTAGTTTGCCGTCTTAGTTTTGCTTGTTCTCTCTTTAGTTGGTTTCTCACCAACATCGTGGCTTGAGCTAGCAGATGATTGTGCTTTCTCCTTGGTGCCAACCTAGTTGGAATTGGGGAGGTTTGCAATGATGTTTTTTGCTCTTGCCTTCCCTCTTTGTTGATGTATACCTAGATGTAATGTTTGTTTGTTATCATCAATAAAGAGTTTTTTTGCTGATTAAAAAAAAAAAAGTATACAAATAGAAAGCCAAGTCAAAGAAAATTAGAATTATGATGAGTTTATAATGAACGACTGGTGATTTAAATTTTTTTGTCTGTTTGTTTGTTTGTTTCTTTTTTATTTTTATTTATTTTTATTTTTTTGGGCTCCATTTTTATGTTTAACCTAATGAGAAATATGTGTGTGTGTTTGTGAAGATCAGAGCCTTATCTTTTAGCAAAACCCCCATTTTTTGCATTTTCTCTTTCTCTTTTTTGTAATTATTTCTCTTCACAATCACAGCCACTAAAAGTAACCACTTTCTCAATCTAGTACTCTCTCCTCTAATGCTGCTGCTATTGTTGGGCAAATTTGTGCCTTGTAATAAAAGGGTCCATACTACTCAATAGGTCATGCCCAAAATATATGAATTTTGTTAACGTGTTTTCTCATAATCCATGTTAAGAAATTTAATAAGATTGTACAATTTTTGTGGAAGTATGCGTAATAAATAATGTACTATCTTCTAAAATTTTTCTTAATATGTTATAAACACAAATTAACAAAACTATACATAACATATATGGATGCATAATTAGTTGGGAATCAAGTCTGGTCCTTAATTACTATTATGATAATAAGAAGTATATGATCCTATATGGTAGGATTGGAAATCATCGTTATTGTTTATTGACATCGTTTATAATAGCTACCTTGTATATTGTAGAAATAACAATCATTATGTTTGGTTTTAAAATTTTAAATAAATTTTTTATGATTTTTTAATGAATTTTTTCATATTTTAGTCAAAATATTTTATTTTTTAAATACATTTAAAAATAAAAACATGTGGAGAAATCTAAAAAAATATTAAGTATTTAAAAAGTTCACAAAAATACAAAAAACAAACAATTCAAAAACTTTATTTGAAATTTCAAACCAAAGAAAGTGAATATTTCTAATAATAAATAAAAGGAAATCGTAAATAAGTTGAGGGTAACTCGTAGTGATCAGAATAACTTTGTTGCATGTTAAAAATAAAAAAATAAAAAAAAAAACTTTGTTGTTGTTAGAAATGTATATATGTATTATTGAATTGAATCAATGAATACAATAGGAGAAGCTTGTATTTGTAGGCTGAAAGAAAGCTAAATAAGTATAGCAAGGATAACTATAGAAGAAGATAGAGATATAAGGAGTTAGAGAGAGAAATATAGATACAAGATAGGGATAATATAATAATATACATTAACAGCCCCCTCAAACTCAAGGTGGGCAGGCATCAACCAACTTGAGTTTGGAAACTAGATCACTGAAATGACCAGGAAGATGGGCCTTGGTGAAGATGTTGGTTGTCTGATTGGCAGAGATAATAAAGATAAGACGAACAATGCCACTAGTAACATGTTGTCGTATGAAGTGACAATCAATCTCAATATGCTTAGTGCGATCATGAAAGGCATCATTATGGGCAATCTGAATAGAACTCTGATTATCACAATAGAGGTTAAGCACAGTAGAATAAGAAACCCCATATCAGAAAGAAACCAGTGAAGCCACGCAAGCTCCTAAATAGTGTCAGCAAGAGCACAATACTCAGCCTCAGTACTAGAACGTGCAACAAGAGTTTGCTTCTTGCTACACCAGGCAATGAGAGAGTCACCCAAGAAGAAGTAAAATCCTATAGTAGAACGGCGATAAGTAGGGTCCACTACCCAATCAGCATCAGAAAATGCATGTAATTGTAGGGAAGAGTGAGCGGAGTAGTGAAGACCATGGAACATAGTGCCTTTGAGATAACGTAAAATACGAACTAGAGCATCACAGTGCAGAGAACAAGGAGCATCCATGAACTGACTAACAATGTGAACAACATAAGCAATGTCTGGATGAGTAACCGTGAGATAAACAAGACTGCCAACTAGCTGACGATGTAAAGTAGCATCAGACAACAAGTGATCGTCAAGAGGTGTGAGATGAGTCTTCGGATCAATGGTAGTAGAGGCAATCTTACAATCGGTAAGACTAGCACAAGCCACGAGATCAGAAGTATACGTGGCTTGGGAGAGAAAGTAACCAGACGGATCATGAGAGATTTCCTAGCCTAGAAAATAGCTGAGAAGACCCAAATATTTCCTCTCAAACTGGCGACTAACTGTTTGAGACTAGAGATACCCACTGTGTCATCTCCAGTGATGATCATATCATCCACATAGAGAAGAAGAAGAATAGTAACACGCTGTCTTACGAATAAAAATGGCAAAATCATAAGCACTGGAGAAGAATCCAAAATCATAAATGGTGGAGCTAAACTTGGCGAACCAGGCACGAGGAGTTTGTTTCAAACCATATAAAGCATGACGAAGTTTATAGACTTTGGAGGGCGGAACTGAGGAACCAGGTCGAGGTTGCATATAAACTTCCTTAGTGAGATTGCCATTGAGAAATGCATTACTCACATCCATCTAACAAAGTTTCCAGTGGTAAGCAGCAACAACGACAAGTAAGCTATGAACAAAAGTCAGACGAGCAACAGGAGCAAAGGTTTCTTCATAGTTAATCCCATATTCTTGAGTAAACTCCCAGGCAACAAGACGAGCTTTGTAACGCTCAATAGAACTATTAGAATGAGTCTTGAGCTTGTAAACCCATTTGTAACTAACAACACTTTTACCAAGAGGAAGATCAACCACATCCCAAGTATGAGTTTTATCAAAAGCCTGTAATTCATCAGTAATAGCTTGCTGCCAAAGAGGGTTAGAACAAGCCTCTCGATAGGAAATAGGTTCATGAGAGGAAAATGCAGTAGAGCCAAAAATGAAATCACGAAAAAGGACAGAAAATTGTGTTACTCGAGTAGAATGACGAAGAGGTACCTCAAAAGTAGGACCAGAGCCTTAGGATGGCCCGAAGGTAGCATGGCAGGACTAAGAGCAGGATCAGGGAATGAATCATCAGTAGGACTAGGAGTCGTAGCAGGATCCTCAGGATGGACTGGAGGGAGCATGGCAAAAGTAGTGTCTATATCAAGCTCATCAAACAAAAGAGAGGGATCTGTGAAGAATAATGTAGTGGGAGGAGTGAACAAATAAAACTTAGATATAGAAGAGAACATCTTGTCTTCCCAAAATACCACATGATGAGAGACATGAAGACGTTGAAAAATAGGATCCCAACAATGATGGCCTTTATGTTCAATCCCATACCTCAAGAAGCAACACAGATGGGCTTGAGGTTCTAATTTGGAACGCTCATGTAGTTGAAGGAGGACAAAACAAGCACATCCAAACACACGGAAACGAGAATAGACAGGAGGTTGGCCATATAAGCGCTCATATAGGTAATGATTGATGATGGTAGGAGAAGGAGCACGGTTGATAGTATAGACAGCTGTGAGAGCGGCTTCCCCCCAAAGGCGCTCGGGACAAGAAGAGGAAATTAAAAGAGCACGGACATTATCTAAAAGATGAGGATGTTTACGCTCAACACGACCATTTTGTTGGAAAGTACCAGGACAAGAATAGTAAGAAATAGTGACATTTTGATGAAGGAATCTCAAAAAATTTGTTTCTTTGTATCATTAGGCATTATCAACACGGAAAACTTTGATGGTGAAAGAAAACTGAGTTTTGACTATTTGTGAGAAATCATAGTATATTTGTGGTAACTCAGAGCCAGACTTCATAAGAAATAATCAGGTAAAACGAGTGAAATCATCTACAAAAATGACAAAGTATTTAGATCCCCTCATAGTGGTATTAGGTATCGATCCCCAAACATCAGAGTGTATGAGATCGAAAGATGCAAAAGACATAGAAGTACTGAATGGAAATGGTAAAGCAGATTGTTTTACTAGTTAACAAGACAGACAATCTACTTTATTATTTGGAACAGGACCTAACTGAGCGCTAGAAACTAGAGATCGTAAACAACCAAAAGAAACATGATCTAACCCAGAATGCCATAAGGCAAGAGAAGAACCAGGAGTAGTAGGAGCAGCAGTCTAGACAGTGGAAGGACTGGATGAGGGAATGTGAAGGTGGACGAGCTCATACAGACGGCCATGTCTACGACCAATCCCAAGAGTCTGTCCCATCTTCTGATCCTACACAACACAACTAGTTGGAGAAAAGATAATAGTGAGGCCAAGATCACAGAGTTGACCAATTGAAACAAAATTAAGTGTAAGATTGGGGATCTGATAAGTGTGGGGTAGAGAAATAGTAGAGGTAGAAATATGGCCTATATGACTAACATGCATTTGAGAGCCATCAGCAGAGTGAATAATAGGTAACGTAGAAGAAGATGTAATAGAGGAGAAAAGTGTAGGGTCAGAGATCATATGGTTGAAATAAGTGGAATCAAAATACCAAGAAGAGGTACCTAGAGTAACTAAGAGGACAGTAGAAGGTGTACCAAAGGTAGAAATAACCTTTTTGACAATAGCTTCAATGTCTAGAAGAATGTAGGGTGGTGACAGGGCAACAACAGATAAGGAGCCGAAGACAACTGTAGTAGATGCAAAATGTGCTAAGGACTAATCTCAGCTCTATATTGTGGAAGGTTCAGAATCTCGACCGTGTTGAGGATAGTTGTCTGAATGAGCCATGAGGTGATTAAATAATGAATCACAAAGGAGAACCAGTGATGACATAGTAGAAGTGGATAAAACAGAGTGCACCAGTGAATCCGGAATGTCGAAATAGTCAGAAACTAGACCAAAATGATCAGAAAAGGTGCAAAAAATAGGTGAAACAAGCCAAAAATTGAATTTTGGCCAAACAAGGTGCATGGCTGACGTTAGCAAGAGGGAAGCTGATGTCAGCATAGGCGCAGCTCACATTAGCACGGCGGAGGCTCACGTTAGCAACTTATGGAAGCAGCTTATGGCTGACGTTAATGTGTGGGACACGCGCGTGGCTGAGCCAGAACAGACGTGAGGCTGAGAGAAAATGGATGATGTGGCTGATCAGTTGACGGCTGAACAGATGGAGTGGCTAACGTGTAGGAGAGCTTGTGCGAGTGAAGGCGGAATAAGATGACGTGCCGAGCACAAAAGTGGCACGTGAGGGTGCGTGAGAAACTTTCTGGTGATGAGATCAATGCTGGTGGAATTCTGAGAAGATTCTGATTAGTTTGATGCTGTGGAAAATATTTCTGGAGAAAAAAATATGGCAAAACAGTTCGATCAGTGTTTGGGTGATTAAATAAAATGTTATAGTACCACTGTGTACAAGACTAAGCAGAAAAAGAAAAGAAAGAAGGCTATAATTTTAGGATCTATAGCTCTGATACCATGTTAGAATTGTGTATCTATATTATTGAATTGAATGAATGAATACAATAGGAGAAATTTGTAGATACAGGCTGAAAGGAAACTTAGATAAGTATAAAAAAAGATAGAAAGAAAGAGATAGAGATAGAGATAGAGATAGAGATACAAGATAGGGATAGAGATACAATTAGATAAGTATAATATAATAATATACATTGACAGTTGCAGTGGTTCTAGTTGAGTGGACACATACTTTTTTTTCTTCATATATTTTTATTTATTTATTTAATTTTTGTACTCTAATCATAATAGGAAGAAAAAAAAAATTGTAAATCAGTGGTCTTTTTACAAAATAGTTACAAATTTGTAAAACAAAAAAAATAAAAAAAATATAACTTTAATTATTAAAATTAATAAAATTATCATTGATTTGAAATTTATTTTGAAAATTGCAAGTAGTGTTTGGTAGAGTTTTAAAATTATGATTTGATAATAGAGTTATATTTTGAGTTGATGAGTTTTGGAATAATGATTTGAAAATAGAAAATTTATCTAGTTATGGGTTTTGAAAAGAGTTTTGAATTGAGTTTTGAATTTTTAATGTGGCATATGAAATGAAAATAGTTGTTTGGTTATGAGTTTTGCAAACAGATTTCAAAACTTAATTAAAAAACTTATAACTCATAACCAAACACATAATTTAAAACTCTATTAAAAATTCTATTTAAAACTCATAACCAAACTCTTTTTAAAATTTAATTCAAAAAAATAATTTGTCATTTTAATCTAAAAAAATGATTTCTATATTTAAAAAACATCAAAAACAGTTTTTTTTTTTCTTTCTAAATAACAAGTGGCAATTGGCAATTACAAAAAAAAAAAAAAAGTACTTTCTCGATCAATCGGCCGAACGTCAAAGAGGATGTCTGGGCAGACGATCGGGTAGACCAAAAATTTAAAAATTATCTATTTTACCAAATATGTTTTCAAAATATATTTTAAAATTAATTTGAAATCATAATTTAAAAATTTAAACCAAACATAACATTAGAATATAAGAATAAAGTTAATTTAAAAAAAATCTACAACACTGCCGGAATTTTTCCAAATAAGAATAGGAGGTTAATCTTGGTGTACCAGTGACGAAATCAAGGTGGTATCACACCGGTGATGTCAAATGGGGTGTGGTGCATAAATGCTTTTTTTTAATCGAGAATAAAGTTTATCCTTTTGTATAAATGCCTTTTTTTTTTTTTTAATGGAGAATAAAGTTTATCCTTTTGGTTATCTCATCCACAATGTTGATAAAGTTTATTTTAATTTTATAAAATTCAATCTCAAATACCTTCCTTTTGAAATCACTCATTCAATAAGATTTATATATATTTTTTTATTAAAATTTTGTTATCATGGCATTACTTTTTCATGTAAGAAAAAAAAATGCAGTGTAATTTAAAAAATTATATGAGAGAATTCTATAATAGTTAGAAACTTTAAGAGAAATATCTGTATAATTTAAAAAAAAAATGTGAACCTCACTAAATTACATAAAATAAAGAAAATTAGATTAAATGTGTAATTATTAGAAGAGTTTGGTTTTAGTCACCCAACAATAAACAATACCACATTTTTTATGATTACCTACTTTCACTTTCACTGAAGATTCATTGTTTTATGTAGGATTTTCCACTTTGAAATAATCAATTAGGGAAAAAGCTATGAACAAAATGATTTTGATTATTACAATAGTTAGTTCTATAACAACTATGGATATACAATAATATTTCTTTTAAAAAATAAAGCAATTTTGATTTAGAGCCGACCTATTTAATGTTCTGGATTCAGGTTTCATTGTCTTATATGCTTGTTCATGCTTTGTTTTTCCTTATTCCTCATTGAGTTTGGTTATTGGAGTGTCTCGGTTGCATTTGGTATAGGTTGATATAGCTTGTTTTTCAAAACTACTGTTGCTCATAATTTTGCCTCTTCGCTCGAGCAGTGATTCACGCGCTCGAGCGGTCTTTGTGAACTCCCAGTACTTTTGCAAGTCTACAAAGATACTGGAAGATGGTATTCTTTGCTCGAGCGGTCTTTCTTGCGATTGAGCGATGTTGGCTCAAGCAGTCTTTCTTGAGCTCGAGCGATGATCCTTTATCTGTAAAACT